AATAAGAAGCACAAGAAACAAAAGCGAATTCATATTTCAAAAATGCCAACTTTGATGAAGATTTCAATATGATGTCGAGTGCACAGTTACTTTGTTGATCGAAACGGTTTGTCAAAGAATATATAGGTGTCCTATTGCCCATATTCGAACATTCTCCTCGATAATGTTCCAGCCCAAAGTGCATGATTACATAATTACACAGAAAACACCCACTCAGGGTTACCAAGTGAGAAGAAAACAATTTATTCAATATTTCGAGGTCGGTGTAATGAATATTAGATCTGAGTTAGCGAGAAGTCGAGAACCCTTGATATTTTTCGTCATATTACAACACCATAATATCAAGGAATGTTTTGTTTAGTGACCATGCATGCAGCTAGTAATGTATTTTGAATCTTCAAAGAAAAAGGAAAATAGAATGAAGCATCCCGATCATGACAGGCTGATATTGGAACTACAAAATTCTTGAAATAATTAAAAGACTATAAAGTGATCATTTAATCAAATTTCACATAAAATATCCATTTTTCTCAATTAATCAATACCTTAACGGTACCTGAGGTCTTGACACAGTCATTCAAGAGTATTATATGACCTCATTAAAAACTTTTTACGCGATATTAACGAACCCCTGCTTATATAAAATCCCCATCCAATCTCGTTTGGAATGTCGATGTTGTGATTTTAATTGTTGCATGGTTCGAAACGCGTTAGCTCGTTGTCCAGAAGCAGTATTTTTACCCGTTTCTCTGGTCTACATATATAGCTATACGCGAATTTAAAGTTTGTTGTCTCAGTGTAGAATAACATCTGTGACTTTGGCCATGCATGGGGATAAGGAAACATTTTTTCCAATATTATTTTTATTTTTGGAATGTAGATAAAGAGGCGGCAGAACTGAACAATAATACTCAGCAATAATATTCGACATTCAAAAACCACTCGGTCAAAGCAAGAATGTCTACCCTTTTTTACTATAATTTATTCATTTTTTATTTTTCTTGAATAAAAAGTAAGTACTTTAGTTTATGTTGATTAAAACAACGAGCATATTTTACTAGCACGTAGCTGCAAGGAATAATTTGGATAAATTATGTAGTAAAGTAAAGATAAGATGAAGATAATAAAGCATTCCGATAGTGATTTGATGATATTGACAACCGGGAAATTATCAATATATATAATAGTATATTCATTGAATGTTATATTCAATATTTATCTTCCCCTAAATTAATGCAGACTTGTGGTCTGCTGCTACTCATGTGTACTTTGACTTTTTTTAAGTGTTGTGTTATTAATTGCAAAAAATCTTACGCATTACTAGAAATTGGTGACAAAAATGGCTGTAGCTTGTGTGCAAATTTGCATATAATCCATATATACATTAGGGCCCTCGAGTTCTCTTATAAAACGTCGTAACGTAAGAGCAACAGATTACAGCACTGTTTGCCGAACTCTAGATTGATAGAACAGTTGTTTAGAAACGTTTTGGTAACCGAATCTTTTATCTTGGGTATTTTTGCAGTTTGCCAAATTTAAAAATATATTGAATAAAATTTTGGCCATGTTCTCTCAACGAAGTTGTATAAAATCGATCACATTCATACGAACATTTCGATTGGGATTGTTGATGAATTGACGTGTAATATACCAAGAAATTTTGTCTAAGATATTGTCTTTGGTATTTCGAATTTAAATATTCCTGTACGGTCCGTATTTTTTCTGCAGTCACTCTATTTACAATCAGTTACATTATTTTCATATTTTACATGACTACTCTACAAGATTCTCATCAAGGTGTAAAGTAGATAATATGTTGCTTGAGAAACCCGTCTGTAAGAAGAAAACATTCTTAGCTAGAACATTTATATATAGTGCCATTGAGATTTGGAACAGTTTGAACAAGAGGATTAAGGATATTGGTTCTACAAAAAAATTTAAGTCCTCTCTCCTTGAGCAGATTAGTTGGTTCATTTAATTTTATATTAATGTAGTTTATATGTTGAGATTCTTTATAAGGATTTTGAACGTCTGGCAACTCAGCAAAGAAAAACACAATGAGACATTTTTGTGGCATATAATTTGGGCAGGAAGCGCTCGAAAAAAGGTCTAGAGGCTCTAATTAACCTAAGTTTTTCCTAGAGGAACAGAAGGACCTCTAAGTTGCAGAGGGTGTGAGCCAGCTCTGTGCATGTTGTTCAGTGAGTTGAGACCTGATGATCTAGGGACCACCATTAGTTATACTGAGACAGTAAGGGCACTCAAAACCCGACAGAGCATGCAAAAACTATAGGTTTTTCTAGAGGAACAGGCGGACCTCTAGATAACAGGGGAACAGGCGGACCCCTGTTCAGGTCAGTCAGCTCGACTCAAATATTGTCTGACTGACCCATCGAGTCTCTAGGTCAGGTCATCAGGTCGCGTTTTCGACCAAAATGACCTGTACAAATGCACTTCACGTGGTGAGGTGTTGTCCAGAAGGACAGCACTTCCTGCCATTGTTTAATCACTGCAATTCATTACAAGTTACAAGAAGAATATCGATAGACTATCTAGAGATAACATATGAACGAACTTAACGTATCAGTATATTTACATGCGGATGCCACAGCGGCCAGTCCTTCGCTGTGGGGAGGTGGGTGGGGTTTTTTTTGTAGTTTTTGTTTATAGTTACTTTTGAAACGCAGATATATGTATTACTGCCTTTCGATAGAGACCTTTAAATATTTGACCGGCGTTGTGGACGCTGAGGCTGCGAATGACCAATGCATGCATGGGGAGCAGGCAAAATCCTTGCAGAAAAAAGGGGGCCATTGTTCAAGTCCACGTGAAGGGAAAGACCGTCAGGGGAGATTCGATTGGCCGTAACACAAGTTTGCATACGTTGTTCACATGCTAAGATGCCAGAGTTCGTTCAGATTTTGGACTTTATAACTATTAACATGCCTGGTAAAGACTGCCTTGTTCTATTGAGGCCTTGACCTTGCCCGGGCTAAAATTAGTGCATGCGATAACTATGACAGCTAGTCCAGAGATGGTCCATATGTGGGGTGAAATAGGACCTTCTAGAACATATTACTCCATTAACCGCAAATTTATAACTTGCGTATAAATTTTTTATTTAATGTAGTTTATATGTTGAGATTCTTTATAAGGATTTTGAACGTCTGGCAACTCAGCAAAGAAAAACACAATGAGACATTTTTGTGGCATATAATTTGGGCAGGAAGCGCTCGAAAAAAGGTCTAGAGGCTCTAATTAACCTAAGTTTTTCCTAGAGGAACAGAGGACCTCTAAGTTGCAGAGGGTGTGAGCCAGCTCTGTGCATGTTGTTCAGTGAGTTGAGACCTGATGATCTAGGGACCACCATTAGTTATACTGAGACAGTAAGAGCACTCAAAACCCGACAGAGCATGCAAAAACTATAGGTTTTTCTAGAGGACCAGGCGGACCTCTAGATAACAGGGGAACAGGCGGACCCCTGTTCAGGTCAGTCAGCTCGACTCAAATATTGTCTGACTGACCCATCGAGTCTCTAGGTCAGGTCATCAGGTCGCGTTTTCGACCAAAATGACCTGTACAAATGCACTTCACGTGGTGAGGTGTTGTCCAGAAGGACAGCACTTCCTGCCATTAATGGCGGTCTGCACAAAGTGCAAACCGCCATTTCCGCCACGGGAAGTAGCCAAATTAGAGTCCTGTCTTTCGACAGGAGAGAGGGCCACCCTAAAATGTCTTTAAAACACAATCTTGCAAAGGTGGCCGGCAATTGTGTGTATGTGGGTCCTTGAACAAACAGATTCGAAGATATCGTGCAGTTGCCGTGGTAGCATGACAGAACAAACATACGACAGGCTATGAGTTTGCAGGAAGGATCCACATACACACAAATAGGGGACTGGTGTTATACGGACTATACAGCAAGGAAGCATAATGATTGAGTTTAAAAGGTAGATATTAAAACAAAATTTTTAATGTTTGGTACTTGCAGTTAGTTTGTATGGAACGGAAGCTAAGACGTCCTTTGGAGTTCTAATGTATCTCTCGTAACAGTCTGAAGACCAACGTCCTAGCGTTTTGATGAGCCAGGAGGGTAGGCCGGCTGAGCCCGCAGCTGTAGCAGCTCCGATCCTGAAACTATGAGAGGCGTAGAGGTTTTCGGCCAGTCCTTGCCCTTGAAGTAGATGACGTAGATGCGATGTTAGGGTTACACGTGTAAGTGGGACACCTGATGTAAATTGGAACAGTGGACGAGGGGTTTGGCCAGACGATGACTGGAGTAGATATGTTTTCATAGCTCGAACCGGGCAGAGTTTATTCGCGATGAGCCGATTGTCAAACGGCATCCACGACGAAAAGGGTCGGTTTTGGAACGCTTGATCAAGACATCGTAATATTCTGCGTGGAGGATATTTGGGTGGAAAATAATGTCATTGCGGGATAGGTGGCACTCGGGATCGAATGGAGAATTACACGTGAATTCACTACAGCGCAGGAAGCCAAAAAAGGCCAGAGTGAAGGCGGCCCAAAGCATCACATTGTCTAAACAGTCTGTAAACTGAGGTCGTAGGGCAGAATGAAGGGACTCGAGTTCGGTCACAGTGATAGGCCGTCGATCCCGCAATTTTTCACCCTTGAGGCGCTTCAGACCTTTTAGACTTTTTTCTAATAGTTGCATGCTCCCCATGTCGAATGGGATTTGAAAATTTACGTGGAGGTAAGACACGCTAGCTAAGTATGTTTTAACAGTTGAATATGAAACAGATTTGGATAGATGGCCGACGAAGTAGAGCAGGGTAAGTTCAGTCGCAGGCAGTAAAGGTGAACAGGGTGTCACGATACCTTTTGCAAGGCAGAATGAAATGAATTGTTTTATGCCGGCGGCGTAGGTTTGTTTGGTTGATGGTGCCCATGAATGCTGAATAAGTTCATAAACACGGTTCTTTAAGTTTGAATCATGGATACTGGGATGACGCAAGGCAGAGGAGAGGCCAGCGGCGCTAATTGTTTGAAGCGGTCCATCTGAAAACGAGAGAGCGAGTCAGCAATGCCATTGTCAAGTCCGCGTACATGCCTGGCCGTAAATGTAAAGTTGTTTTGCAAAGTACAAAGAACAATCGGTCGGAGTAAGTCCATTATCTTCGGACATTTTGACGTCTTCTGATTGAGAATTTGGACAACGGACTCGTTGTCACAGAAAAACACAATGCGTTTTGTTGCCCATTGGGCACCCCAGAGACAACATGCAAGATAAATTGGGTAAAGCTCTTGCCATGCGATCGAAATACCAGTTTTGTTAGCGATATTTTGGCTGGGTAGCCACCGGCCCTGAAACCATTGTCCTGCTAAGTATCCACCAAAACCGATGGAACCTGCTGCATCGGTAAATAATTCAAGTGAGGGCGAGGGGGTCTGCCCGAGCTCAAGAAAAAGACTAATACCATTCCAGTGTTTGAGAAAAACTTCCCACATAGCTAAATCCTTATAAAAACCCGTGTTCAACTTCACAAAATGATAGGGCTGTTTAATACCACATGTAAGGGCAATCATGCGTCGGAGGAATGTGCGTCCTGGGGCAATGACTCGGCATGCAAACTGAAGGATCCCAATAAGAGATTGAAGCTCCTTTAACTTACAGCAAGAGCGTTTGCCATTGCGCAAGAAGGGTCCTAGCCTGACTTAATTTATCCTCGGGCAGGAGAGCCAGCATGTGGATGGAATCAAGAGTAATCCCAAGAAATTCTAAGGTTTGGGTAGGAGCAAAAGTTTTCCAGGTGCTATGGGGACATTCAGTTCAGTGAACAAACACAACAACTTACACAGTGAAGTCAGGCATAAAGGACGGGGGGCAGCCTCAGCGATAAAGAAATCGTCCAAAATATGGAGAACATTTGGAATACCTAATTTGTGTAGGAGAATCCATTCGAGGGCATCCGAAAGCATGTTAAAAATGTACGGTGCACTGCGAAGGCCGAAGGGAAGAACACGATCGAAAAAATACAGTCCCCGCCATTTCATGCCTAGGAGTTCCCAGTCATCGGGGTGAACTGGGATATTACGGAACGCGGATTGAACATCGGTTTTGGCCATGAAACAGTTCGGGCCTAGTTCAAGAAGGATTCTCATAGCGTCGTCAATTCGGACGTACTGTAAAGAGTAATCTTCGGATGAAATATTAGCATTAACGCTAGTGGTTGATGATTTTGGATAGGAAAGGTGAAAAATGGTTCTCCATTTGGATGAGTTCTTCTTAGGGACAAGGCCCAAGGGGTAGACTTGGAAGTTTGTAAATGGAGGGCTAGTGAAGGGGCCAACTGTGTGGCCTTGTTTGACTTCGTTGAGCAGGTTTTCATCCACTATTTCCGGCGACATAAGGGCCGTTTTAAGATTAGGTGAAACGAAGGGGTGACGGGGCCCCTTATACCCAATTTTAAAACCCGCCCTTAAACCCGAACAGAGGGCAACAACAAATTCGCGATCTGGGTGGTTAGTTAGCATGGACTCCAGGAGATTAACGTTAATTGGTGTAACTGGTTTTAATCTATCAACAAACTCTTTACTTGTGTTTTCTGCGACGCGGAGTGTCATCAGTTCTCGCAGAGCTGGTGTCAGCGTGTTCATATGCCGCATGCCGTCCGCCACAGCCGGATCGATTACACCGATGTTCGAAGGAACATGGGTTTGCTGAGCACGGGAGGCCCCCGTTAAAATTGCGGCAGAATCCTCGGTTGGGGAAATTGCTTGACCGGCCGCCTTCGGACCTTGATGAGGAAAGAGGGCAAACATCAGACATGTGATCGGCGCCGCCACAGACAAAGCAGATAGTGCGCGCGAGACCTGTGAACTTATCTAGCCACAGCTGGAGATGACGTTCGCCCCAATTGAGCGCTGGATGTTTCGCGGCGAGCTTGCGAAAATCTATGTCGTACGCATACCAAGCCAAACCTTTAAACTTTTGTGAAGCCTCTCGGATTATGCGCTGGTAGGCAAACAGCTGCGAAGCTTTGTGCGGAAATTTAGCGACAACAACCGAAGCGTAAACACCGAAGGCTGTTAGCCACTTATCAAGACTGTCGATTTTTGGACGCTTGCCGAAATTTGAGAAATTCGGAAGAGGTATCGAATAGCCCTGATCACCTTCGACTGACAGGCGAATTGGACCGAAAGAGGGGCGGTCTGAATTACCCGGGAGAAGCAAAGAGAAATCGACAAACTCACCGTTAACGATCTGTTCCTCGACTTTCTTAGGCAGACTGGGAGTCTCTGACGGTAATGAGGTGGATGACGAGTAAACTGGCGAAGACGAGATTAAAGTGGCAACGCTGGAAGGATTACCCAGATCGAAAGAGGGTGTTGGCGCGGACTGCGCGATAAGGCTCGCTGCTGGCGATGGTTGTGGAAGCGGTGGTTGAGGCGATGGTGGCGTGTCGCGGGCCAAAACGTCGCGGAGCAACGGTGCGAGGTTAACTGCCAACGAGCGGAGAGATTCAGCGGAAAATTGAGGCGTACTGGGAGTCGGATCACGTGGTGGTAGAGCTGGTGTTAAGGCTGGAGAATATTGCCGTTCTGTCGTGATCAGCAAGGCGGCGTAAAAGAACGTCACGCGAACCAGAAAGAGAGAGGTTTCGCTGGGCCAAGAGAAGATGGAGGACTTCGGTGGACATGTCGGCGTAGTTCGTGGCAGAACCAAGCGGCTGTTCGCTGGTGTGGTTGGCCGCGTTCGACGTCTCGCCATTGGTTTCCGCCACAGTTTGTTCGTTTTGACGCGATGGACGAGTACGAGTTGAACGGCGCTTTTTAGCTTGCTTCGGCATTGTAGTTTTTGTTTATAGTTACTTTTGAAACGCAGATATATGTATTACTGCCTTTCGATAGAGACCTTTAAATATTTGACCGGCGTTGTGGACGCATTGGCTGAGGTCTTGCGAATGACCAATGCATGCATGGGGAGCAGGCAAAATCCTTGCAGAAAAAAGGGGGCCATTGTTCAAGTCCACGTGAAGGGAAAGACCGTCAGGGGAGATTCGATTGGCCGTAACACAAGTTTGCATACGTTGTTCACATGCTAAGATGCCAGAGTTCGTTCAGATTTTGGACTTTATAACTATTAACATGCCTGGTAAAGACTGCCTTGTTCTATTGAGGCCTTGACCTTGCCCGGGCTAAAATTAGTGCATGCGATAACTATGACAGCTAGGCCAGAGATGGTCCATATGTAGGGTGAAATAGGACCTTCTAGAACATATTACTCCATTAACCGCAAATTTATAACTTGCGTATAATTTTTTAACTTGCGTATAAATTTATTATTTGTATTTATTATATTACTATAGATAAGACCTTGTGTAAACTAGCACTAGCTAACTAAGGATCTTTTTAATTACAATTACAATTACTTTAAAAAATACCCCGAGGTTCGCCCTAGAAATAGTGGTGTAAAATCGCAATTCCGCTCCACAGTACTATATCAGCGTAATAATTTATGTATTTATTTTTATGAAAATATGGGATTTTGACCCACACTTTTTATCAGCCTCCTATTTGCTAATTTTTTCACCATTTGGTATCAAAAACATGTCATTCGATAGTTAAAAGCCTAACCTTTTGGAATGTGAAAAAAATCCGTGAATAGAATGAGTAGTTTACGTACAATGGCGCACCAAAGTTGGATTGCCTTTTTTTGATACACCCTGTATAAATATATATATCTGTATGTATACTGAGTCTTTATCTCTACTGCTCTTAAGTATATACCAAGTATGTCTGCTCTCAAGTGTGTCATCAAGTAGCTATATCTTTACTAGTTCAGCGATATCCCTCCCCCGCTTAGGCATACTTCCCCAAAACAAATTGGCAATTGGCAATATGAGGGACTTTTGAACTCTTGTACCCGTTGTTGCTTGCGAGAAAAAGCACCTCTGACCAAGGTCTCAATACCACATCTTTTAACTCGTTAACGTGTTACAGGCTAAGTGGGTGTCTCGTTGTCCATATTTAAATATTCTTCTGATCTTGCAGTGATATTACATATTTGTGTAGTTTAGTAGTTACCATGCAGCAATTGCATTTTGATTCTTCAAAACAATGAAAAGATAATAATAGCATTCTGATCATTACTCGCCGATATTGGCAGAGGAAAAATTCTCTTCAATATGAGTTCTCAAAATGATGAATAGATCATTGAATCTTTTCAATATCTATATCTTTCTCTCCGTGCATTAATGGAGACTTGTAATCTGTGCTATTCAATATTTTGTCAAGTGTTGTATTTACCTAATTAAGCACATTTTACGATTTAATTATACAATCCCTCTAAAATACAATTGTGTTCCTAGTCTGGCTTATGCGATCCGTGCATGTGGAGAGATACTGCAAATGTTATTCGAACGTCGTTATGAAAAAATTAGCGAAATTTAAAATAAGCACAACAAACCCAAATGCCAATGTATAGAATTGAATATAAAGTAGGAATATAAAAATAATGATTTTGGGAGATTTTCGGTGGGGCGGCGCTTTTATATTTTATAAAAAAAATAACTATACACTCACGCGAGCTTGAAAATAGGGTCGGGAGAACATGAGAAGTCAAGGAATTTTTTTCATGCATGTGGCCTATGCACTCGATAAGACATACAGCGCCATTTGAGTGGACGGGCAGCATGTGACGGGCAGCATCGATTCTTGCCGGAGGACCGTTGACTCATTTTCCATCAACTTATCCTGGCTTGAATTTGAAGTGTGTACAATTCCACTCGAAATTAAGATCCTTTGAACTTCTAGAACTTACCTGTTTGTAAAATGTTAACGTTTAAATGTTTACTGAGCCTTCAGTTTTAATAGCAGAAACACGTGAGTCAAAATAACGGGCAATAATAGGAAATTACACCCATGGAATAAAAACATGAATGCGGTCAATTTGTAAGACTGACTGAATGATATTCATAACTGTTACAGCGCTAGCATAAGCTAGTATTGCTCCAAGCTATGCTACATGCCAAATATAACATGTGCTATAATGCGCTATAATTCATAATTGCCATATTGGTTTAGTGGGTAATCATGATTACGTTGTACTTTTTTATTTAAGGCCGAGGGAAGTTAGGTGTTGGTTTACCGTAAACAGACATTTTGAAAATGATGAGGATTTTTTTCATTATTCATTATTCATTATTTTGCAGAATACTGGTTTACTAGTAAAATATGGGTTATGGTCTAAATACCAAGTTCCATACTCAATGAAAAACATGCCACAAATCACATGTATAAAAGTTTTATTAACAAAAACAAAATGTTGCAATAGTTAAAGCTATACTCTCTTGCTGATAGGCTCATGATCACATTCCTGGCACTGGGGGTATGCCTCCTCATTTTCTTCACCTGTAGCCACATACTCTCCACAAAAAATACATATTGGTTCATAACCACAGCTGTAATACAGTCGTTCAATGTGGTCAGCACAGTCCACATCTTTAATATAGACATCAAGCCCTGATGGTAAAATTACATCATCTGAAAAAAACACAAAGCACCACTTTTAATACAATGATCTGCACATAGTTAGTGACCAGTTAAATTGAAGAAAAAATTAACACACATACATATATTGGCTTATATATGGTTAAATTAAATAAAATTACATTACCAAACGTAAACCCGCATGTGTAAGAGATGTCATCTAATAGCTGGTCAAGCTTTTCTTTTTGCTGCCTTTTTAACTTTTTTCTTGAAAAAACTAATCTCCATTTCTCACACTCTTCACATTGCACCATTGTGTCAGTGTTTCTAGCATGCTGTACAGATGGGGAGAATGGAAGCTTCTTTTTTTCCTTTGGGGTTCTCACTTTTAAACTGGGCCGTGCCTGCATGAATGTAAAATAGTTATGACATCAGACACTGGCTTAATCTGAACCGTGTGTGTGTGTGTTGTCAAAAATTAACAGGCTATTGTAACCCTGGTAGTCCAGGTATGACTTGCACGAACATGTACATATTATGGTAAGACTTACTTCAGTGGTTTTAGTACCATACACCTGTTCAAATTTTTTATAATGCTCTTTGTCTTCTGATAAGACTGGGAATGGTAATGTCTTGATATTTCTTGTTCTTTCATCCTTCAAAGCTCTAACATGGAAGTTGCAAAAATTAACACAATTGGTTGACACATATGGGGTATGACATAACAATTAACCAGCTTCAACTGCATATTTAAAAAATTTAACATGCCATAAGATGAACACATTTTTGCTGCATGCCACATAACACTTACCCACACATCTCGCACTGATTATTACCACACTTTTTAATTTGAAAACCATAATGGCTCTGGATGCAACAATGCTTTAGATATTTCTGGAGCTGAGATAGGTCTTTCACATCTTTTTGAGTTGTATGTCCTCTCTGAATTAAAATAAGATCATATGTAAATAAATGCAGTATTTATTTGGTTACTAAGAATGTCAAACACATCTTAACCTGTAATTCCTTCTGAATTGCCAGGCAGTGCTGCCAGAGTTCATTGATGTTATCCTCTGTAGAAGGCTCGAATGTCTGTAAAGGCTTTTCTTTAAGTCCTAATCTTAACATTTGACCCTTCAACAGGTCAATTGGCTGCCTTAGAGACAAGTGAAATTCCTCCTTTAGGTTGTCAGTAATCTGTTTACGCATTTCCTTGACACTATTCGCCTTCGCTGAAAAGTCAAGTGAATATATTATATGATACTGAGCCACTCACCAAAACAGTTGTTGCAATTTCAATCAGTTTTTAATATTACATATTTTACCTGCAGCCCTTTCAAATTCAGGACTCATCTTCTCACGCATAACACCAACACCTTGCAGGCCAATATTTATAATACTCATCACTCGCTCAACAGGGTTTGCCCATGAATTGCTTGGGGCTGTTCTGAGGGCTATAAGCATGTCCAAATCGAGTGCTTTAAACAAAGCAATTAGTGCCAACTTTACAGACATGTAGGTTGACCGGTGGTCAGGGCCACCATCAGTATAAAGAAGTAACACTGGTTTTGACTCTGAAAATGTTAGTTTAGAAAATGAACAAAATTAATATTATCATGCTGACAGGTTATATTTATACATGTAATTTGATTGGCAAAAGTGCCAGTAAACACCATTATAATATGGTACAGTAGTTAACTGTTAAAACATAACAGTTACATGTAACTAATGATTTTGTACCAGTCAATGCTGCAAGGCATACTGTAAACACAGGAATCATGATCATGTAGAAAAATTATTTAGCTCACCCCCTCTTTCTTGTAAAATTTGCAGAAGTTCAGATGAATGACGCAGAGGCGAAGATGGTTCAAACACGGCATCTTTAAATGCAACATATACATTTCCCCTGTAAAAACTGCCATTGATAGTTTCAGGAATATCAATCTTTAAAAAAACATGGAGACATGGCATCTGATATAGGTTGCATTTATAACTTAACCAATTGCTCAATTAGTTTCCTCCATCCCCATACTACTCCATAAAAATACTACTTACAATCAGATTCACAGAAGGAGTGAGTGTACTCTTGCTAAAATCGTGATCTCCCACTGCCATTGTTTGGTTTACTCCAACCAAAACTTGTTTACCTCTTTGGGCAGCAGCTAGAGGATAGTTGGGCTCACCCACTTTAATCTTGTGTTTATCGTCCATAGAAACCAGTTCCACCACATCACGGTGCATCACTGCAAACTCTCTCATGTAACGCCACATTGCTGCACAATAGTGGGAGTCCACATGATTGACTCGTACCTGAAATGGCAAGGTAAACTCAAGTGTAACATTCTGAAGTTTTTGAGGTTTGAGAGTAAACTCTACTTAATCCACGGTTTCTATAATTACTATAGCTGTGATAAAACAATTGTATTATCATACCTGGCGTTTTTGAACCATCATCTTAATGTTTAGAGTGCCTTTAAAGTACTTGGCTGTCACTGCATTTGGATTTAGAGGTTGAAATTGATAGCGTAACCACTTTACTGAAGGTGTTGGTGTCCCTTCAGGTAGCCTTTCGGCAACACGCTTGTGTAGATCGGTAAAACTCAGGGCCTTTGCAAGATAAAGTTGCTCTCCATGTCTTCGGTCATTAACAGTAACACCTACATCTTCAGACAAATACCGCTCGGTTTCTTGAAAAAACTGTGCAAATGTGTCCTTCTTTCTTTCTGGACTGACATTTCTCAGATCTACAATAATTCCTGCATCTTCAGCCCTAACTGCATAATCAAACCTTTTGTCTATATCTGATGTAGCAGAACAATCACTTGTCAGGTTACGGAACATAGCACGTAATGCTACTGGGCTTGCACAGAATCCAAACATATGCTTGAATTCACGTTTCCGAAGTCTGGATAGAAACTTTGGCATGTCATTCTCTATCTTCTTGATAAGTGCAGTACACCGATTTAACAGCTCACTTTCAGGTAGGCCATTTTCAATTTTCCATATGAAATGCAATGCCTGCTTTGGCCCACCAGGATAATAAGTATACAGCACCGACTTTGTTTTAAGCCCAGTTGACTTCAATTCTTCTATCATCAAGTAAGCATACTGCCGACTTGTACCAGCAGGTAAACACTCACGCACAGACACAGGAGTGAATAGCTCAGAACTTTCCACTTTCTTATTTAATTCCAATAAATAATCCTTCAGGTGTCCTTTGTTTTCTGGTACAACACTGACATTTGCCTTCAGTTCAAGGTTGGTTTTTGGCCTGAACTGAGATAGGCTGATCTTCTTGGCCTTGTTGCTTAGGAACACACAGTACTCTTCAGCTGTGCAGATGGCTTGGATAATTTCGCATTTAATGTCATTCCATGGAGATCCAATGTTATTTAGAAATGTTAATGACTGTATAACTTCCCTCAACTCAATACACATTGCTTTTAGCTTATTTTCAGAAATGTTGCTGATAGAGCGTTTGCGGTGTTTTGAAAGCTCAGGTAAGTTGAAACCAGACAGATTTTTGAAGCTTTTTGGAAATTTGGATGGAAGTGTCCCTTCGATCTTGCCATGGTGTCCATCAAGGTACCATGCAATGTTGCAAATTTTAGCAACAAATGATTTTGCACTTTGTGGTACACTTCTGGGGAACTCGCAGCAGTTTTCTTGGAACCAATCTAATACTTTATTATGGAGTTCTTCCTTCTTGGTGCCTGGACTTGAATATCTTCTTGGTACATTTTCACTTTGTTGTTCTCTTGCTGCTGCCAACATAATTTCAAAAGCATTTGGTTTTGCTGCTTGTATTTGCACTTGTGATGAACATATCTCACAGTCTTCCTTGTGGGAAATAACCAGCCCAAAGAAGCGTGTCTCAAAAATGTCCACTTTTTCAACAAGATTTTGCTCTCCATCAAACTTAATTCCTTCAGTAGAATTAAAGGAGCTTGAAGCGATTCCATGATGCAACTTGTAGTTTTTGCAGGTTGTTTTCACTTCTACTGAACTGACTCTTCCCAACAGGATATCATTCAGTAATTCATTCGCAGTGTATGAAACATGATTGAAATTCACAAAAGTCCATGGAACAAGAACTTGCCCGTCGTCTTTTGATGAAATACGTATGCAAACTGACCGTGACATCTTAAAAAAACCAAACATGGTCATGTATCTCACCATCATCATTGATGAGAATTCAATGTTGTACAAATATTTTTGATAGTCAAAATTTAATATACCATTGTATTAAAATAGACAATCGAGCCAAAAATACATGTTTATAATAATAATATTGATATATAATAAAACACAAACACTAAAGGGATCAGTAAAAGCTATTGAAACTTACCTATTTAATAGACGTGAACATAAACCTTGAGTTGAACATATTTACATTTCATGCGCACGGACGCCATCAAGGGAAATTCACAAACACGTGTTGTAGCTAGCTGTCTCGTTGAGTATACATATGCAACGAAGCTATTGATTGGTTGTGAATTAACCAATATAAAACATCCATCTTTAATAAATCATCCACATAAATCATATGGCCAGAAAGCATGTAGATAAATGTATACCAATGATTAATACATCGGAAATGTCTTAACAATTCCAATATGTTCAAACTTTTCCCAAATAATGAAAAAAAATAAAATAATGAAAATTTTAAGCGGCACCTCGGAAGCCATGCGGGCGGTTTACGGTAAACTGACACCTAACTTCTCTCGGCCTAAACACGCATTACATGATTTTACAAATATATAAATCTTCTTTACGCGCCTAGATCTAGTATTATGCGTTGGCTGTTTGTTAGACGTAGATTTATACAGTAAATCTTGGTTGATACTTGATACAAATAAACAATACAATAATCGACCTTATGACCGAACGACGACGGGCGAATGCAAATATATACTAATACAGAACCACGCTCAAATATACAGTTAACATAGCAAATTATAGGACTATAGTTTATACGAACCTATAGGAGTATTGTTTATATGAACATCGACATGAATCTTTACCTTATCTCAGTAGATTTCTCATTTTGACGAGCACACAAGGTAACGGAATTATCCATATTACTCGACAAGACCACAACTGAAAGCTATTCGATATTTTCGTATTTGTAGCGTGAACTTCCTAACAAAGATCTGTATCCGGCCTTGCAGGAACCTCAAATAATGACGATGAAATGCCATTTTGTAAAATAAATATACGAATTCGTATAAATGGCGAGAGCGAGCAGTAGAATCCAACAGTTTTTTTAAAAATACCGCTGTTAAACATCCAGAAATTTTTCAATATTCCTTATTTACTTGAGAAGGATATATTTTTTCCTTTAAGTCAAATAAAGCAAACCAATAAGAAATCAATATTTTTCATCTGACAACCCCTAGATCCGCCCCTGATGAGTGCCGCCACATTGAATGACCATTCACCATTGAACTGAAAACAAACTGGAATGATAGCCCAGGGGGGAAAATTGAAGTCAGTGCTTTTTACTTTTTCTGAGTTTTGAGCCGAAATACTTAACGCCTAATGTTGAGCCGTATATGAAATTAAAGCGATTAAAAAGTTATATTTCGTGTAGAAATTTCGAGACTTGAGCTTAAAGGGAAATATCTAAAAAATATTTGAAAATTTCCCGGTTTTTTGCCGATTTGTAATTGTTTTTGTTTTTTTTTAAATATTTCCTTTGCAGTTCAAGTCTTGAAATTTCCACACCAAATGTAACTTTTCAATAGCTTTAATTTGACACACAGCCCAACGTCTGGCGTCAAGTATTTCGTCTCAAAACTCAGAAAAACTATTTTGGCTTCAAGTTAAATAGGGATGTTTGTCAGGAGTTATCGTTCCAGTTGTATAGAGTTCACTGCCATTCACCCACATACACTCCACTCTAACTCACACTTCAGTGCATACTGCACTCTCACTCACACTTCAAGTGTTCCACCCGAGTGCAGGCTCACTGGAATCGCACTCAAGTGTGAGTGTGAGTGAGCTTTTACAATACAGGCGTACCATGCGGTTTATAATCTGGAGCGTTTTCCCAACGCCTCTACTTCATTTTTCTATGTGGAAGTCTCAGGGAGTTTCTGACAATACGAGTGCGATGTCTTGAACCTAAAATAGCTAGCTAATATAGGCTTTTCCCGTGCTATAAGAATGCAATTATGGGGTCTTCTCTTCTGGTGTTTATTCCAAAATCTTTCGTTCGTGTACCCGCATCCCCTAGGTTGACGACATTAGAAATAGTGGTGTAAATCGCAATTCCCCTCCACGGCAGTACTATATTACGTAATATGTATTTAACTCTGCGTCTTGTATTAAACGATTTTCATTTCTAATACATATTTACACTTTATCCAAATGATTGCAAATGGATGTCACCCCAACTGATTCCTAATTTGTGCGGCCGGGGAAGAGGGAAGGTGCTGAACCATAAAGCTTGAGAAGAGGGCGAACAGCTTAAGGAGTGGGCAGGAGGAAAAAATAGAGCATGACGTAAAAGAAGAAAGAGACAGGATACGGGGTTGCCTCGAATCAGTTTATGTTTCCCCTAATCGAGTAGATGCAGTTCACAATCCGTGTGAAGCCGGACTTTAATTAGGAAAGGAATAATATTTATACTAGTTTGTGAAACAAAATGTGTATAATGTATCTCGTTTATTTATGCAATCAAAGCTATAACAACTAACAAGAGCATAAAGACAAAGAAATATATAATTATTTTGTCTGGGAGTTCTCGTTTATATATCATCAGCAATTGCATAAATAACTTTGGCTATACCCATTAAGCCACACTTCGACAACCACTCGTTAAACGACACTGCAAGAAATTCATAAATTGATTGTTTAACATGACTTAATCCGTAAGACTCCCCAAAAAGTTCAAAAATCTAATCAGTAATGAAGGAGCGTTTTCTTTCAATTTCATTAGCAAGCCGTGGGTAGCACGGAAACTCGTATGATGATACTCTGAAAATTCTTACGAATAAAACAGATTCCAAACAAATACTATACCCCTTGAAAGATAGCTTTACAAGTGCAATTCCCCTCAAGACAAGATGTTTTCCAACACATTTTACAATGGTACTTCGAGAAACATAAATTGACACAACCTTTACAAGGTGCTTCGAAATCTTCAGCAAGGAGATATAAAAAAATAGTATAAGATTAAAAGAAAGGGGCGGCCTTATTACCGGACATGTAAAGCTAGTATTACCAGAAGCAGTGAGAGCAATCAGTCAGACTAACAGTACCGCAATGGTCTAATGACATCGAAAACGACTTAAAGTGAAACACTAGGGGCATTAGGTCTATCAGCATACAGTTAAACAGTGCTGCTAGCACGTACTGCATTGAAACAGAAATTCACACTGAATTATTAATTATTGCAAAGCAGTAAGTACTATAGGATTTATCAGTTTCCTCTAATTAGCATCAATCAACAATCTATTAGACCATAAATCTGTAATAATGAACTGATAAAGAATGAAAGTTTCGTCTTGGGACTGAATACGTAACACGAGGAATATGGTATATTTAAATATAGTTAATAAAAAAGAAACATACTCATTCCCGCCTGTCTTAGCAAGGGTGCATGATTTGATGCGCCTTTCATAAAACCTAAAATTGACGTGTCGAGTAATATAAGCTGTTCTGAATCTGCTCTGTAGGGATTTAAGAATTATGCAATTCAATATTTTAGCATACCTGTTGCATGAGTGACAGAAATAAGAAGTACAAGAAACAAAAGCGAATTCATGCTTGAAAAATAGCAACTTTGATGAAGCTTATAATATGATGTCAAGTGCACAGTTACTTTGCTGATCAAAACGGTTTGTCAAAGAATATATAGGTGTCCCATTGCCCATATTCGAACATTCTCCTCGATAATGTTCTAGCCCAAAGTGCATGATTACATAATTACACAGAAAACACCCACTCAGGGTTACCAAGTGAGAAGAAAACAATTGATTCAATATTTCGGGGTCGGTGTAATGAATATTAGATCTGAGTTAGCGAGAAGTCGAGAACCCTTGATATATTAGTTAGGAGACAGTAAAAACAATCAATTACAAAGGAAACGAAAAATGCTGAGCATGAATATATAAATTTGGCCCCCAATTTGGGTATTTTCTCTCTCTTAAAAAAAACACTAAAAACAACACTTACATTTCTGGTACCAATTCAACATTTACTCAATTTTACAACTATATATGTGTGTAAATGTGTAATATATTCATCCGCATTCTAGCTGTACATACAGTTATATTTTAAAACTATAGTTTAGATAGTGTCCTCAATTAGTTTACTAGTAGCTAAATACATAGACACTTGAATAAAGTTATTATTATTATTATTAGCTCTTTAATACTCATGTATAGGATTTTTCGTCCTATTACAATACGATAATATCAAGGAATGTTTTG